AAAATTTTAATTTTTTGTTTTTTTTTCAGTTATAATTGTATGAATACCTCAATGCGACATAAAGATGTAGCCAAATTTTATTATGTTTGTAGTCAATCTATTGTAGCAATGAAAGAATACAAAGAAGGATCAAACAGAAAAAGAATGGAAAGATTTCCTTGTCAAGGAAAAATGCAAATGAAAATCGATATACCAGCTGGTGAAGCCATGCTAGAAATTAATCATGGTCTACTTCATAACAAACCTGCTATTACTTCAGATATTATCGAAGAGTGTAGAAAAGAAATCGAAGAAAACGATAAAAATTATTGTTGGGAAGGAATATTGGGTGGGGAACAAATAATAGTTGGCTGGAGTCAAATAACGTTCTTTGTGTCTCAATTTAGGTTGCACCAAAAAATAGTAATTTTTTGTATCACAGGAAAAACTAAAAAATTTCGGTAGAAACATCATGACTTCCATATATAGTGAAGATACAGATCAAGCAGAAGAAAATAAAGATCAGACGGAAGATGACATATATCAGGAAGATGACATATATCAGAAAGATGACAACTCAAATATTGAAAACATAGTTCAAAAAGATGACAACACAAATCTTGAAGATACAATTCTAAATGACAACATTAATCAAAAAATGGACGAGGAAATGGTTGAAGACAATTCGTTGGTTAAAGAAGTTGAAGATGAAGACGATGACGAAGAAGACGATGACGATGACAGTGAATCTGTATATTTTATATATATTTATATGTATATTAAATTAATCAAACCTTTCAATTGAAAGTAATATTTTCTTTATAATAGGATCTAGAAATTATTATGGATCAAACTCCACAAAATAAACCTAATGACAATGGAACAAGGTATTGCTATTTCAATTGATAATATTTTTATGTAAATTTATTATTTATATTAATTGTTTGTTTTGGGTATATTAGAAATTCACTTGTTAATATTAAACCTAATTCATACAACAAGCAAGCCGGTCCACAACGAAATGGTAGATCTAGTTTTATATCATTTATATCGGATCTAATTCTATTGTTCGAAAAATAATGACTCTTGAATATATATAAACTTTTTTTAATTCGATAGAAAGTTTGCAGCCAGTATCTTTAACAAGTCGTACTCCAGGCGTAGACCTTAACGCAATTGGAACAATTGACGGAGCCAGTATATATGACGTTGACTTAGATTCTGCTGAAGAAAAACCTTGGAGAAAACCTGGTAAGACAAAGCGAAAAACCAATCTTCTAACAATTTTATTCGAAAAACATTTAACATTTTTTTTATATAGGTGCCGATATTACCGATTATTTCAATTATGGATTTAATGAATATTCATGGAAAGCATATTGTGCAAAACAAAAACAAATGCGAGAGGATCAACATTCTAGAAAAAAGATACATGTATAAAGAAATTTTTTCATTGTCAATAATATGCATTAAATTGCGACATTGAGTTTGATTCCTAATATTATTTTAAAGGTTTTTGAAACCAAACAAGAAATAAATTTACCTCCAGAATTACAATCAATAGCTCAACCACAAACTTCAGAACATATAAGGTTTCAACAACAGCAACAACAGCATCATCATCACCATCATCATCAACAGCAGCAGCATCAACAACATCAACATCATCACTATCAACAACAACATCAACAATCGCAACAGCATCAACATCAAAATCAACAACTGCAACAACTACAGCAGCAGCAACAGTTACAACGTGGTGGAAGAGGTACATAATTTTTTGTGCTATTTTTTGGGAAAAAAAAACAACAATAATTTAAATATCATAAATTATTCAAGGGCGACGTGGAAGAGATCAAGATGATTCGGTTATTCAAGTTGTCTCAAGTGAAAGAGAGGCTGTCCTTGAAGAAATGGATCCAATGTAAAAATTTCTAATATTTTAATATTTTACAAAATTTATCTTTTTTTAAAAAAAATCTATGTCTAAATTTCTGAAAAACTATTAAAAAAAAATTTTTTTTCAACTCAAGACCACCACCCATGATGGATAAACCACAAAACGATGAATTTGGTAGGGAAAGAAACGAATTTACATAAGATTTATAAGGTTATCTAATCCTAAATAAAATTTTGATTTTAACTTTAATCATAGGGCCACCGATGGCAATGGGAATGTTCACGGTAAAATTAATTACAATATGTTCATTGGTATAATGACAGCTTTACTTAAACAATGTTTAACCTTTAGGAAATGGGAGGGGGTCCTATAGGTCATCCACCACCTTTTTTTATGGGAAACGCAGAAATACCACCATCGGGTCCTATGGGATTTGATCATAACTACCGAGGAGGTCAGCCAATGCGATCCATGTTACATCCTACTGGAATTGCTGGAGGTTTACCTAATAACATGACTGGCAATATTTCTGGTAATATTCCTAACATGCCTGGAAGAATGCCAACAATGCCATCAAGTATGCCTAGTGGTATACCCGGTATGCCGAGAGTTATTTCTGGGATGTCTGGTAATATAACTGGAAACATGGTTGGGAGAAACGAAAGGTAATTTTCAATACCCAATAAAAAATTTATTTTTAAAAAATGTAATGATTTACGATTATTACTAAAATATATTCGTAATATATATTTATAAATTAGACCATTTTTCTCAATGGAAGATCAAGGCATGTTAAGTTATTAATTGCAAAATCCAAATTGTCGTTAATTATAATAATAACATTTCATACGTATTCTTATAAATTTTAAATCTTTTGACAATCATTAGCATGGGAAATTGAAAACCGTAACGCATCAACATTCCGACCCTCTACATTTCCAGGAAGACCACCAACTGGACCAATGCTTGGTCCTGGTACCAATAGAAATGATTTTCACGAATGGGAACGTTCTCCGCCACCAGATGCACCATTTTCACATAGGATGAGGAATCAATTTCGTCCAGGGGCTCCACCTACCGGTCCAGCTTCTCATATTGCATCCGGAGAAAGTCCTATTTCAGAACGTGGTGATGACGAAAGAGGCAGCGATAAAAATGACGAGAGTCAGCCATCTAATAATGATAAAATCCATCATGGGGGTTATATAAGGGATTTGAGGGTATGTGTTAAACATGATTAATCAAATTCTATTTAATAAAAATGCACCTTTTATTTTTTTAAATTTTTTTTTTCTTTAATTTAGGGAGGACATGTTAGATCTAGAGAAGAAGAAAGGTGGGATGAGTAAGATGTTTTAAAATAAATGAAAAATATATTTATCATTTTTTTTTTTTTAATTTTTTTGTGTTTATGTTTAAATCTATTTATCATTACTGTTAGCCCACGAAAACGTACAATTGGCGAGGCACCACGTGATGATGATGAATTCAGAGCTAAGCGACGGCACTAAAAATTTATTCTCATTTTGTATATAGACTTTAATTTATTAATTTAAACACTGCAATTTATGATCATTATTAATAACATTTAAAATAGATTAAATTTGAATAATAATAAATAAGTCTTGAAGATTTTCAATAATTACATTTGAACAACCATAGATTAATGATTTGATTTCGTTTAATTTTTAATTTGAAATCTTTTAATCTATTTTATTTTGTTAATATAACGAATAAATTTATAGTGTAGTTTAAATTAATCATCGGGTAATTCATCGACCTCATCAATCTCAACACATTTTACTTTGCTGTTATAATTAATTAAATGCGAATAAGAAAGATTGTTAATAGTAATTAATTTCCAATTAATTAGTAATGAAATTTTTTGTTCACCTTTGTTAAAATCAACATTTAAGAGAGTTAAAATCGAACATTGTAACTTAACAATTTCGTTATTTAATATTTTATTTGTGTGATATGTATCTGGATGTGGTTTGTGTACTCGTTGTGAATCGTCATACTACCACTGCTGCTGCCATCATTTTCATGATGAAAATTTATTGTTACTATTATTATTGATATTTACTACTACCAATACTACTACCAACATTATTATAATTATCATAATCATCATTATCATTAAGAATTTATTTTCAGCCGATGCTAGAATAGTTGATCTTTTTAATGGATCTACTCCGTATCATTGTGAATAATCACCAGACATTCCTGGTAATATTTGTAGTTGTAAATATTCACATATATCAAAAATTAAACAATGATTATGAGCTCTATCATCAAATAGTGGATGACCAGCAAATATTTCCCATATTAGCATACCAACACTATAGATATCTGTTTCTTTGTACTAATTTGCCTCCAAGTAGTTTAAATGCAATATATGATATAATTCCATATATTTCATTTGATGGCTTTTCATCAACTGGTCTATAATATCACAACACTTCTTCCTATTACTATGTAAATCACAACGAATTAAATCTTTTCATGCATACAATATAAATTATTACATAAACCTCTAAAGATTGTAATTCTGTCTTTTGATGTTAAATTGTAATGATTTTTTTGTAAATAATCCAGTGGATAATTTCCATTATCTGGGAATTTAGTTGTAACATAACAAGGAACAGTCATTGCTGATTTAATTTTGCAACAATTCAATTTCCTATAATAAATATAGAATCAATTGATATTATATAACACAATATTATTATTTTTGTTTAAATAAAAACTATCAACCCCATCAAAAAATGATTTTTCCCGGATTACTAAACTTTTAATACTATTTACTCTTTGTCCTCTAGGACAACTAAATTCCTTTTGATTTTCATCATAATCAATTATATAACCTCTTATCTACACAGCATAACTTGAAATTTTTTACATTATTGAAATTAAAACATGGCCTGTCAAAGATGATTTCATTTGATAAAGTTATCAACCATGTTATTTCAGATATCCGAGCAGTAAAAAGACTCTGTAATACAACCTTCACAGAATCTATTGAAGTATTTACACTTGTTACATTTTTTGGCCAGCCCTTTTATAAGTTGCATTATTTAATTTTACAAAATTGATTTTCGTTTCAGAAATCTATTTTTTTTTTTTTTTGAAATCATTTATCATAACGTTGATTAATTTGTTGTGTTTTATTGAATATATAGTCTTTTTTTAGAACGGCATGTAAAAAAGTTGAATTCGATATTATTTTGTTGCATATTTATATCATTTAGATTTCATTAGTTAATCGTATCTTCTTCTTGTCTTTATAATTTTCTTCGATGTCTTGTCTTCGCTTACCAAGTAAGATGTCATTTACTCTCATCTTTGATAATATTCAAAGGTGATATCATGGCCACATATTAACCCACTTTCTAAAATCCATAAGCGAAACTCAATTTATTTAATATGAATTCCATATATTTTTAGTATGTCTTATAAGAACTCGATAGGAATTGGAAGGAGGAATAACCCTGTTGGGAAGGTTGGAACATTCCCGTATAACAGTTTATTGACTTATTTGATCATGTATAAACATAATAGTCATTAATTTTTATACTAAATGTACAAGAATTAATGGTGTTTACAATAAAGTAACATTTATTTATTTATGGAACTCTTTATTATTTACAACGAAAATCAAACCTTCGCAAAAAAAAAATACAATAATACAAATGTATGTAACACCAAGATTTGTGATTGCAAAATCGATATTTTTTAAAAAAAAGAAAGCATGCCGAAAAAATTGGTGAAAATTGAAAATTCAGATGGTGATCCATCAAAATGGCCCGACACAACTACAATAAAATTAATAAATAGCACTCATATACAAATTTTTTACGAATTAGATAAAAACTCTTACGCATATAGTACTTGGATGGAAGTACTTGGTGATGCAATAGCAAAAAAAATAAAATCAAAAGGTGAGGAAAAAACATGTTTATTTGTTCTTTAATCAGTGTTGGTATTTGATCAATAAAATAGTAAATTTATAAATGGAGGAAAAAATTTTTATTTATTTTTTTATCTAGAGAAGTTAGTATTAGATCAATTACCATATGGTTATAAATTATTTGTTCAATACAAATATTCAACAAAAATATCGCCAAAAGAATTACCTATGTGTTGTCGCACCATAAAAGATGGCGATGAGTGTATAGAAAGAACTGATGTGTTTGTTTATGGTATGTAAATAAATAAATATTCATATTAATTAATTGGTATGACGGTAATAATAGTAATAACGAAACCTATTTAAATAATTATTAGGAGACCCTAGAGGCTTTAGGTTTAGATCAAAACATGAATTCATGCCACATTGCTTGTGGCTTTATTTTAATAGAAAAAATAGTTGTAATTGTAATCATTGTGATAAAGACGCCCATCAAAAACGTAAAGAAGATATAAGAGCTAGTAGGTTATTGGTTCGATTTAGTAAACAAAAGTTCGACACAAAGATTCCAAAGAAAATTAAAAAAATCAACGAAAATATTGACAATAGCACATTATCATCCATTTTAAATGATTCTAAATATCGTCGTGGTGAGATCGTTTGGGTTTCAGATACTATGCTAAGATTTAAATCATTTTCTCAGGATCATCGTCATAATTTTGAAAAAGGTGGTGATGATGATGATGATAATAATAATGAAAAGACGAAGGAAATTTATTGGCCTGGAATTATTGTTGAAATTGGACCAAATCAAATTCAAGGCAATTATAGTGTTTATTCTGCAGGGTTCTCGACATTATCAAATCAACATCAATTAGACAATTACAGGTACCTGGTAAAACTTTTGGTAATAAACAAATATTACGAATATCCTACTTTTGCTATATCTCCGTGGCTCTCGGTGGATTGTGAGGAATTAATATTTAAATATTCAAGTGAAATTTATTCTTCACAAATTTTAAAAGCAATATTGATTTGCACCAATGTTCAAAAACATTATACAATGGGATTAGTTTATAATTACATTGTTAATTATAAAGAGCTAGATTCAGTTAAAGATCCTGTTCAAAAACAACGAATTATTAATGCGAAAAATTATCCACATTATAGTGAAATATGGTTTGGAACCGAAAAAATCAAAGTTTATGATTTTGTACGATTGACCATGAGCGACGACGATGATAACGATGATAAAGGTGGTGATTATAAAGGTGATGTCACAAATAAAGAATATTTCAGAATTACGTCAATATATAAGTTGCCAGATAACCGAATTCAATTTACTGGAGATATTTATACGCTTAAAAATTCAGATATAAAAAATAATGATGATGGTGTGGTAAATGGCACAGTTATAATTGGCGATAAAATACACAGAAAATTAAAAATTGGAGATCATGTGTACATATCAAAGAATTATATTCAAGAAGAGTATACTGTTGATTTAGAGGATATTGCCGGACGGTTTTATCCGAATATGGATCCATTTACTAAAGTAATGAACGTCAAGGAAGAAAAGGCCTCAAGAGAAGAATTATTTGATAAAAATATCGATCAAACTATTGTTGTTGCTGATAATGGATTAACTTCTTCTTTCAGTAAAATAGACAATAAATGTTTTATGGATAATAATTTGTCTAATAAACAAATGCTGTCATTATCAATCGGTTCCACTAAGATTTATAAAAGTGAGGATGATGAAGATGCCACTATAACTGATGATGATAATAACAGTATGAATGATAAAACTGATATTAAAGAATCAATAATTTCACCATCACAAGAATATCGAGGTTATGAATCAGAAGAAAGTGAGATGATTATTGATGATTGATTTTATGTATATTGCATTTGTTTATAATCTAGATGATATTCCTTTTTCTTAGAACTAATAATCTTTTTATAAAGTTGGATTTTATTGTTAAATAAATTGAAAACAGTTAATATAAAGTTTTTGCCTTTTGAATGAATTTTAAATAATGATAATGAAAAATACTATATTGTATATGCATGTAGAAATTAATAATCAAAAACAATTTACCAGAATTTTTACGATTGTATATTTTTATGTTATTCCTATGAATTTAACTAATTTTGTTTAATTTAGAAAATTTTCCATCAACATTCCCTTGGATTACTGATTATAAGATGATCAACATATATATTGATTGGGGCAGGACCCCGATAGTCAACGTTAAAGAATTTTGCATAATAATAAATATGGTTCAAGTCATCTATAAATGTCGCAGTCCGAAATTTAAAATTTTAAAAGATCTTTCTAATTTAAGTAATGTGATTTCTTTATTGGAAAAATTTTCTGGATCAAAAATTTTTAAGCTGATCATCAGCCTTTTTAGGAAATCACAAGGGAAAATATCACGTGAAATTATTTTCGAACAATGAAATAAAGAGAAATTAGTATAGTGCAAGGCACCTAGTCACACAACTTTTTATTGGCCTTGTAGATCCTTCTCTAACTCCAAAAATGGAAATGTAACACCAAAAAATAAGCCGTAAT